GTAAGTCCCCTGAGCTCTCCTGGGTGGGGAGATGTGTCTGGTTTTAGGCGGTGCCATCTAGATGTGTCCAGGATGGGGAAACATGGCTCCGCTGCCAGTAGAATGTTTCAGAGAGTGGCCACTTTTGAAGGCCTTACACGTCTCCCATTGTGGAATTGGGTAGGACTTAAAATTGATGGGCCACTGTGGAATTCTTGGTTCCTCAGGACCTTGTGGTGGTCGCCTTCTTTCACTGAGCATTCACAGGGTGGCTGTTAGGTGCCAGGCCCTGCTCTGGGGTGGGGGACCACAATGAGTAAATGTCAGGTCACTGCCCCATGGAACCCACCACTGCAGGCATCAAAAGGGGGAGAAGGAAAGCGGCGTGGCCTGTTTGTGTCCTTCTCACGTGGTCACCTGCCAGGTCCAGGGGGAGTGGGAGCCAGTGCAAGGAGAGAAGCCCAGTGAGAAAGGCAAAGGGATGATGTCAGACCCAGGGGCTAAGACCCCCACCTGCAGCCGGTTAGCTTCTGGAGTGGACAAAGAGCAGCAGGGAAGGTCGTGGCCTGGTGTTCTAGGGTTCACCGTCCCGTCTCATTCCTGTGGGTGCCAAAATTGTCCAAAGGGAAGACTCAGTGTCTCTAACAACAGCAGGCCAGAGACAGACGGTGTTTCAGAGAAGCAGGAAGGATTGTATGCCATGGAAACAGTATGTCGTTTTATAGTAGTGCGTCTCTGTCTCTTAACTAGTTAGCGTGTTCCTGTTAATGGAAAATATTGGTGGTGTAAGTTCCCCTGGATCTTCTCATCTTCATGTAAGTTTGTCTGCTCCCCCATCCCTCCCTTCTTTTCCTTCTTTCCTGAGTTTTCTGATCATGGTCATGTGAGGCTAAAATCCAGGAATGGCCTGGGTATGCTTTTTCTCTAGAGTTCAAGCTTTTATTCCAAGTTGACTGCAGATATTGGAAAAAGTTTCTATTCTTGTTTGTGGGGGACTGAGGGCCCTTTTTCTGTGCTGGCTGTCAGCCAGAAGACACTCTGACTTCAGAGACCACCCGCTTTCCTCCTTACCTGTCTTTTCCATCTTTCAACCAATCATAACTCATGGAGTCCTTCTCAAGCTCCTTCCTTCTCTGATTTCATCTTCAACCAGCCACAGAAAGCTCTGTCACCTACGGAGTGATGCGATTCGATCCAGTTCATGCAGGTAACCTCACCATCTTCAAGTCATGTATCTGTCATATAACAACATAATCACAGGAATGGTGTCTCATCACCTTAATAAGCTTCAGAGACAAGGGTATGGCATGTTTGGGGACCATTTCAGAAATTCCATCTACCACAGTTGGACACTCACATTCCCCCATCTGCAAAATGCATTTATCCACTCCTCTAAAGTTTCCAAATTTCATGTTATTAAAGCATTATTTTAACATGGAAAATGTCACATAGTCCACATCAGTTCCAAAGTATAAAATCTCATCTAAAACATCCACACTAGGTGTGGATGAGGCTTCTATATGTGTCCATTAAGTACAGATCCTTGACATAATTTCCTTACCTCCATCAACCTGTGAAACTTAACAAACTGCTTATCTGCTCCTAATGAGGAATGGCGGGACAGACACAGAATAAGAATTACAGTGATTCTAGTTCAAAAAAAAGGAACATGGAAGGGAGAAAGAAGTCACCAACCCAGAATAGTATGGAAGTGGAGCGGGGCAAAATCCAGCAGGAGGTTCTTAAGTAGGACCCACAGCCTGGGACTGAGCCTCCATCCTGTGGGACTTTGCTTCTGGGACATTTGCTCTGCATTTCTTGAAACCATTATTATCTATCTTATTTTTTCCCCACTCCTTTGGTTCTTCTCCTTTCTCCTCATGGCAGCATCCTCTGCTTAATCTTTGGTCCATCATCCCCAGCAGAATTGGTCAGATATTGCCCGTGTCACAGTCCTGACCATCTCCACGAGGGGCTGTCCTTGTGAGCCCGTGTTCCTCTGAGATCATCTTCACAGACCTGACCTCTCTCAGTCATGATTGCTTTCAGCTGACCTGGCTGGGTTAGGAGAAAACCTAAGGGTATGGAGTCCCAGAACCATTCTCTGCCCTCTCTATCTCCAGGAGAGGAAGAAAATAACAGGGATCTTCATGGAGAAATGACCCACGTGAGGGCCTGGACTCTCCAGCAGTTACAGCAGAGGAAGCTTCCTGAGGAAGCATGGAGGAGCTGAATGCTCAGACTGGGAAAGCAGGGTTGTGTTAAGCACTATTTAATCCTCACGTGCTCCCTGCCCCAATCTACAAGCCAGTGAATGACAATAGACTGAGAATAAGTAATAGGACTATAGAACCGTGATAAAGAATTGTCCAAGGAAAGGCCCTTTTACTGTTTGCAAGGTGAAATTGCTGTAGTGGATCCAAAGTTTTCTGAAAGGCAGCAGTGAGTTTCTGGAGGGTGAGTTACCTGCTTTGCACAGGGAGGGTGAGGCCAAGGCTTGTGTGGTCTCACTCCTGCCACTAGGTGGTGAGGGAGCCCAGGAGAGTCTTAGTCTTTCTGGACTTGAGTTTTCTCATCAGTAAAGTAGGGGCTTATTGTACCTCTCTGAGGTCCCTTCCTGCTCAGTTTTCTCTGAGTCCTTGAGGGACTGAGATGGTCTTTAACACTGCATGGACCTGTAACCTGCCTTTGACCTCTCTGGGTCTGACTCCTGACTCTCTTCCCTGTGTTTCTCCTGCAGAGCCTGAGCTTAGTCCACGCCCTGGAAGCCAAGAACCGAGGGATCAGATGGAAGAAAGAAAGTCGGCAGGTTTTGGAAAAGAGAATAACCTGCAAAGGACAAGTCAATGATAGAACAGGTGAGAAACAAAGAAGGGGAGAATAAGGACAAACTGGGCCAGAAGCCTCAGGGGAAATGGGCAATGGGCCTATGATCATTCAACCACTCGAGGAGCAGCGCAAGCTGAGCAGTGGGGACCGAGAGAGAAACTTACTCCACAGGAGTCTCCTGACCCTGGCCAGGGAGAGCCAAAGCTGGCCAGGGATCAGAGCTGGTTTATAGTGAGGGGAAGCACCAACTCCAAGAGGGTGAGGATGCGACCATGAGCCCCACTCCAGACACAGGAGCCTCGACCTCGGGGCTGCCGTAGCAGTGGATGCTCTTCAGGTCAGTGTGGGTTAGAGAGAAGAAATATGCTTGGAGAAGGGTTAGAGATGTCTGTTCTTAAATGAAACAGTTCTGTCCTAGGTCAGGTGTCAGAATAAGTGTTTCTTGCCAGTATATGAAGCAGTGATAGTTACACTATTCCTTTGCACTTTCAGTTGAGGAAGGTCTCTATATGATATGAGTATTTACTGGGTGTTTAATTTTCTTTACACTGTGTTAAGCACTTGGGGTTCAAATAGTAGTGTTTCCCCAAGGAACTCAAGCTTATCAGAGAAAGAACACAGAGACATGATTTCAAGAAAATATAGTAGATCTCTGAAAGTGGGGTGTCATGGCAGCCCAGAGGATGGGAGTGTAAATGAAGACATTGCTCCTAATGACAAGGGGAACCATAAGAGGAATTCTTCAGAGTAGTCCCGTTTTTCCTCCAGTGTCCCACAGAAGATCCTGGGGCATGACTGGTGTAGAGCAGGGGTCTACAGGTGTAGGAAGGGGACTTGCTGCATCTTGGGAGAAATTATAGCATCCCTGGTAGGACATTTTGGAGAGGAATGTTGGTGATTGAATTGGATATCTGTAGTCACTTTTATCCTATCTTCAGTGAACAGTGCTGAGACCTTCCTTAGTGCCAGACCCTAAGCTGGGAATCATGAACACAGAGATGAGTAAGAATATGATCTCAGCTTTCACAGAACTCAGTCCAGTGAATAGCGAGTTATGAGAAGTGTAAGTGGCTCATGCTGCATGGAGATGACCTCAGTGGATGGCTGGGTCCCCCTTCTGGTTGTTATCAACAGCTGGATGACTTGCTCTGGGCCAGTGACCCTGGATTTCTGCCAGGTGTCTGCATCTTAGGTACAAGCAACACCTCAGTTTCCTGTTGGGTCAAAACAGTTAACACTGCCAAGGCGATCAGAGGACACTAGTGACATCAGTAGCTACTGATGAGGTCCTGGCCAGCTAGGGAAATAAAGATGTAAGTTTAACAATGATTCTAAATTTGTTCTTAACATCATGAGCAGAGAGTATCTGTCTTTTAAGTCAAATACTTTTTAGACTTCAAGATTCACCCACATCCAAAATAAAATCTATATCAGTCATATCACTGCCCTGAGATGATTTCTCCCTGTCCTTACCAGAAGCCTGCACTATCTGGAGCACTGAGGCTGTCTCAAGCTAACTGACCTGCTCTCTGGATTCCAGGGACACCAACAGAACCAGAGGTTGAAGGCACAGGCATTAATATCTCCAACCGTCCTGACTCCAGGTTGATCCACCCCAATGCCCAGTATTAACCACAAAGTAACAGGATGCCACCAACATTTTTATTTGGGGCTGTCATGTCATAATTTTAATAAAATTAAATAGACATTATTTTTTAGAATAATTCTAGGTTTACAGATAAATTGAGCCGACGGCACAGGGAATTCCCCTATTCTCTCTTGTCCCCTAGAACACAATTTCCTCTATCAGTATCTTGCATTAGTGTGATACATGTTTACAACTGATCAATCAATATTGATATGTTATTATTAACTAAACTCCATAGTTTACATTAGGGTTCATTCTTTGAGTTTTATAGTTCTGTGGGTTTTGACAATTACCTAGTGTCATGAATCCTCAGTACAGTATCTCACAGAAGAGTTTCACTGCTGAAAAGCCCCTTGTGTTCAACCAATTCATCCTTCCTCCATGCTTGGCAATCACTGATCATTTCACTGTCTCTACCATTTTGACTCTCCTGGAATGTCCTAGTGTTGGAATCATACAGTGTGTAGAGTCACTAGACTAGTTTCTTCCTAGCATTATGGATTTAAAGTTCCTCCATGTCTTTTCATGGCCTGATAGCTCATTTCTTTTTATACCGAAACTGTGGTACAGATATACCACAGTTTGTTTAGCCACTCACTTAGTAAAGGATATTTTGGTTATTTCTAGTTTTTGACAAGTATGAACAAAACTGTTGTAAATACTTGGATGCAAGTTTTTGAGTGAACATGTTTTCACATTACTGTGGTAAATACCTGAAACTGCTATTTGCAGTATTATGTGGCAGGGCTATGTTTAGCTTTGCCAAAAAAAAAAAAAAAAAAAAAAAAACAAAAAACCTGCCAAACTGTTTTCCAAAGTGACTAGCATTTTGCATTTCCACTAGCAGTGAATGAGAGTTCCCGTTGCTCTGCATCTTTGGCAGCCTTTGGTATTGTCACTTGTTTGGATTGGAGCCATTCCATTAGGTATATATTATAGTATAGTGGCATCTTATTGATTTAATATGCAATTTCCTAGTGACACATGGTTTCGAGCATCTTTATGATATGCTTATTTGCCATCCATATGTCTTTTCTGGTGAAATATCCAGATCTTTTGCCCATTTCTAAATTGTGTGGTTTGCTTTTTTATTATTGAGTTTTAAGAGTCCTTTATATATTTTGGACACCAGACTTTCATCAGATCTGTATTTTGCCAATGTTTTTCCCCCAGTCTATCACTCGTTTATTCATTTTCTTAACAATGTCTTTCACAGAGCAGAAGGTTTTAATTTTAATGAAGTTCAGCGTATCCATTTTTTTCTTCCTGGATTGTGCTTTTGACATTGTATCTGAGAAGTCATCGCTAAACCCACAGTCACCCAGATTTTCCCCTATGTTATCCTCTAGGAGTCTTACAGTTTTGCACCTTACATTCAGGGGTAAGATCCATTTTGTGAAAGGTGTAAAATCTGTGTCTAGATTTATTTATTTTTCACATGTGGATATCTAGTCATTCTAGCACCATTTGTTGAAAAGACCATCCTTTCCCTGTTAAATTGCCTTTGCACCTTTCTCAAAGATCAGTCTATTTCCCAGCTCTGTATTCTTTTCTGGTGACCTATTTGTCTGTTTTTTTCTTCCTTCACAAATTTCCATACTCTGGTTATTGTAGCTTTATAATTAGTGCTGAAGTCGACAGTGTCAGTTCTGTGGGCATTTTTCTGATCTTTACCATGAGAACCTGGTTGGGCTCCAGGTGGTAATACTTAGAAAAGTGTGAGATCCCCCCTAAATCTGGGCCCCAAGGAGTTTTGAATGCTCAAGCCAGGCCACCCTCAGCGTCTTGTCTTCTGTCAGTACCATTTAAGTGCTCCTCTCAGTGGCTGGCTTCAGCAGCTTCTGTTCCCTGTGTTTGCCTGTCTTTCTTTTCAACATGGCAATTTGCCCTGCAACCTCTCCTCTAGTCCCTCTAATAAGGTTTGATAATTTTCAGTTTCTTCAGCTATTTTCTTGTTGTGAGGACAAGTGGTGACCTCCTGGCTCCTTACAAGTTGGAGTTGAAACCAGAAATGTCATTAAACAAGTTACTTGTAATAAAAGTCACTAATCACAAATGTAGAACTGAATAATTTCAGTAGATATGTAGAATTTTGTAGCCATCACCTCAGTCACCTCTTAGAATATAGACTACATTTCTTTTCTCCCCAGATTCCCCAGAGGCTCTTTGCAATCATTTTCCAATCCCTGGTCACCGTGACGAAGCCTGAACAAAATTTAAATTTGGGAAACAGACAACATTACATTTCAGCTTTTATTAGATTGGTATTTTATCTAATGGACCATTGTCTTACTCTTGTGTCAACTAGAGGAGATATTTTATTCTAAGGACTTTCTTTGGGGGAGCTTAGTAGTACTGTTTATTGCTCTCCTTGAATTGGTTCATCTATGCTGGTAACAGATAGTTACTATCAAACCTTGTCTGGTGATCACAAGTGAAAGAGCTAAAAAAAAAAGAATCCTTCTATTAGAAGTGTAGATGATGAATTTTCAGATGATGTTATGCAGAGTTACGTTTGTTTGTTTTTGAGCCGGAGTTTTGCTCTTGTTGTGCGGGCTGTAGTGCAATGGTGAGATCTCGGCTCACTGCAACCTCTGCCTCCTGGGTTCAAGCAATCCTCCTGCCTCAGCCTCCCAAGTACCTGGGATTACAGGCATGCACCACCATGCCAACCTAATTTTGTATTTTTAGTAGGGACGGGGTTTCTCCATGTAGGTCAGGCTGGTCTTGAACTCCCAACTTCAGGTGATCTGCCCTTCTCAGCCTCCCAAAGCGTTGGGATTACAGGCATGAGCCACCATGCTGGAGTGCTATGTGCAATCTCAGTTCACTGCAGCTTCTACCTCTCGGGTTCAAGTGATTCTTGTGCCTCAGCCTTTCAAGTAGCTGGGATTACAGGCATGTACCACCACGCCCGGCTAATTTTGTATTTTTAGTAGACAAAGAGTTTCTCCATGTTGGTCAGGCTGGTCTCGAACTACCAACCTCAGGTGATCCACCCACCTTAGCCTCCCAAAGTACTGGGCTTACATGCATGAGCCACCACACCTGGCTGGAGTTAAATATTTTACCATCTTTTTTCTTTCTTTCAGAAATTGGATTGGTAACATTGAAGAGATACTTCTCACCTGCCTGAAATGCCCTTCATTATCTTCTTCAAGTTGCAAGGGCTCTGAAGCAGCCCTTACAGTGCTCCCATAAAGGTAAGTATAACATTTTACTGTAGTCCCTTGCTTTTTTTTCTTTTTTGTGCCTATAGGGATTAGCATACATGTATGTGAAAATATAAACAGAGTACAGATAGGCACCTGTAACTAGTTTTCTGTTGCTACCTCTTAGTGCATTATAACAAGTTAGTGGTTTGAAACTACAGACATCAGGAGTGATTGGGTTCTCTGATCAGGGTCTTAGGAGGCTGAAATCCAGTTACGGGCTGCCTGTGTTTTTCTTCTAGAGCTCAGGCTACTCTTCCAAGTTCACTACAGATGTATTAGCAGAATTCCTCTTGTGGGTGGAGCACTAAGACCCCTTTTTCAGTGCTTCTGGCTCTCAGCCTGGAGACACCCTGACTCCAGATGCCACCTGCATTCTTTCTCACTTTTCCCATCTTCCAACCAACAACAGCCCATGGAATTCTTCTCCAGCTCCCATCCTCTCTCTGACTATGTCTTCTCCTACTCACTAGAGAAATCTCTGACACTTAGGGAGTGATGTGATTCCATCCGGCGCACTCAGGAGAACTCAGTCTTTGTATTAGTCTGTTCTCACAGTGTTATAATGAATGACCTGGGTGATTTATAAGAAAGTTTAATCAGATCACAGTTCTGTGGGCTGTGCAGGCTTCTGCTTCTGGGGAGGCCTCAGGAAGCTTACAATCATGGTGGAAGTGGAAGCAGGCATGGTCTTCACATGGCCGGCAGGGACCTGGGGGGTGGGGTGAGAGAGAGAGAGAGGGAAAGAGAGAGAGTAGCAGGGGGAAGTGCTACATACTTTTAAACAGCTAGATCTCTTGGAAACTCTGTCATGCGACGGCACTTGGGGGATGGTGCTAAGACATTAGAAACCTTCCCCATGATCCAATAACCTCCCACCAGGCCCCACCTCTAACGCTCAGGATAATAATTGAACATGAGATTTGGGTGGGGACACAGACCAAACCATATCACTCTTTAAAGTCATATGATTGCCATGTAACAACATAATCACAGAAATGTCTCATTAGCTTAACAAGTTCCAGAGATAAGGGTACAGCAGGTTTGGAGACTATTTTAGAAATTCCACTTATCACAGTTCAACTTCTAGTCCCCAGACATTCACGTTCCTCACAGATGCAAAATACATTCACCCTCTCACCTAAGATTTTCAAGTTTCGTGTCATGAACGAATTAGTTCAAAGTGAAAAATGTCATGTAGCTCTAATCTGATCGAAAGTTTAAAATCTCATTTAAATCATCTACACCAAGTGTGAATGAGGCTTCTGAGGGTTTCCATTAAGTACAGATTCTTTTTTGTTTTTGTTTTTGAGAGTGAGTCTTGGTCTGTGACCCATGCTGGAGTGCAGTGGTGTGAACTTGGGTTACTGCGACTTCTGCCTCCTGGGTTCAAGCGATTCTCCTGCCTCAGCCTCTTGAGCAGCTGAGATTACAGGCATGCACCACTGGATTCAGCTAACTGTTTTATATTTTTAGTAGAGATTGGGTTTTGCCCTGTTGGCCAGGCTAGTCTGAAACTCCTGACCTCAGGGGGTCCATCCCCCTAGGCCTCTGAAAGTGCTAGGATTACAGGCATGAGCCACCGCACCTGGCCCAAGTACAGATCCTTGATATAATTCCCTTACCTCTGTTGGCTTGTGAAACTGAACAAACAGCTTGTCTGTCCTCAGTGTGCACTGGTGGGACAGTCACAGAATAAGGATGCTAGTGATTCTTGTTCAAAAAGAGGGAAAGTGGAGGGAACAAAGTCACTGATCCAAAACCATTTCGAAATGGGGCCAAGCAAAGTCCAGCAGGAATTTCTTGATTAGGCTCTTCAGCCTGGAACTAACCCTCTGTGACAGGGGGCTTTGCCTCTGGGCTCTGCATTTTTTTCTGTTGTTACTGAAAACATTTTATTTTTCTTCTTCCCCCACTCTTTTGGTTCTTCCCCTTTCTCCTCACGGCAGCATCCTCCACTTAATTTTTTGCATCATTCCCAGCAGAATTGGTCAGATATTGCCCATGTTATGGTACTGACTATCTCCACGAGGGGCTGTCCTTGTGAGGCCGTGCTCCTCTTCACTGTCCTGATGTCTCTCAGTCATGATTGCTTTTAGCTGACCTGGCTGGCTTAGGAGAAAACCTAAGACTATAGAGTCCCAGAACCCATCTCTGCCCTCTCTATCTCCAGGAGAGGAAGAAAATAATAGGGATCTTCATGGAGAAATGACCCAGGTGAGGGCCTGGACTCTCCAGCAGTTAGAGCAGAAGAAAGCTTCTGAAGAAGAATGGAGGAGCCGAGAGCCCAGGCCGGGAAAGCAGGGTTGTGTGAAACGCTATTTAATCCTGTGTGCTCCCTGCCCCAGTCTACCAGCCAGTGAATGACAGCTAAGTATAAATGCCAGGACTATAGAACTGTGATAAAGCGTTTGTCCAAGGGAAGGGCCTTTTACTCTTTTTGTTTTCACAGTGGAAATTGCTGTTTTTCATTTAAAGTTTCTGAAAGGCAGCAGTGAGCTCCTGGAGGGTGAGTTACCTGCTCTGCACAGGGAGGCTGAGGCCAAGGCTTGTGGTGGATCTGCTGCCACCAAGTGGTGAGGGCAGGAGCCTGGGAGAGTCTCAGTGTTTCTGGGCTTCAGGTTCCTCATCGGTAAGGTAGGGGCTTATTGTACCTCTCTGAGGTCCCTTCCTGCTCTGTTTTCTCTGAGTCCATGAGGAATTGAGATGGTTTTCAGTGCTGCCTCTGACCTTCAGCTGAGACCTGACTCTGTGAGTCCCCTGCAGGAGCCTGAGCTGAGTCTACACACTGGAATCCCAGAGCTGAGGGAACAGGTGGAAGAAAGAAAGTCAGCAGGTTTAGGGGATGAGAATAATCCACAAAGGACAAGGCATTGGTAAATGAAAACCAAAGAAGGGGAGAATAAGGACAAACTGGGACAGAAGCCTCAGGGGAAATGGGCAATGCCTATAATCATTTAAATTCTCAAGGAGCAGCATGAGCTGAGCAGTGGGGACTGAGAGAAAAATTTACTCCACAGGAGGCTCCTGCCTCTGGCCAGGGAGAGCCATAGGGTAGATCAGAGCTGTTTTATAGTGAGGGGCAGCTTCAACTCCAAGAGGGGGAGGATATGACTATGAGCCCCCACCCCAGACATAGGAACCTCGACCTCAGGGCTGCCGTAGCAATGGATACTCTTGAGGTCAGTGTGGGTTAGAGGGAATAACCGTGCTTGGAGAAGGATGGAGGTGTCCATTCTTACATCGAAAAGCTCTGCCGTAGGTCAGGTGCCACAGTAGTGTCCCTTGCTTGCATATGAAGCACTGATACTTATACTATTCTTCTGCACCCTCAGTGTAGGGCACGTTCAGAGCCTGATATAGGGCTGAGTGCCCCACCAGGTCGTGGGATGAGCCTTATGCTGTGCTGAGGCGCGGGATCTGAGAAATAAAGAGACAGGACATAGAAGTACAAAGAAAATGCAGCTGGGCTCGGGGGGCCACGCCACCTATAAGCCGAGGCTGGTGAGCGAGCCCCGAATGTCCAGAAGCATGAGTATTTACTGTGTATAGGTTAGGGGGCAGGGCACTGAGTGAAATCATCTTTAAGGATAGTGATAGGGTCGTGAGCAATAAAACATGGGGTCCACTCCCATTAGGTCACCTAGGCCAGAAGGTGGACAGCACGCAGCAAGGGGCCCGTTCCCACGAAGGCAAGGGCCGTGTGCAGTAAGGGGTCCACCCCCATTAGGTCACTGAGGCTTGAAGGTGGGCCGTGCGCAGTGAAGAGGGTGCAGTGTGCGATACTTCTATCTATGGGAAAACTACTTCTAAGAAGATTTATAGGAGGATGCCTTAAATCACATAGCAGTGACAGAGTTGTCAAGGTTACTGCCGCCTTCTGGCAGGTTCCAATGGATTCCATGGGAAGACGCTTTTCAAGCAGCACAGTAGCAAGAGCTGATAAAGTTCACAGTCACCAAGGTGGATTGCCGGTCTGAGGGCAGCCTTCCACAAGAACTGGAGCAGGGTCCTACAACTCCTTTATCAGGAGGAGTGGCTCTCGCCCCAAGCCTGCCATACAGCGGGTATCTTTACAATACTGAACGCTGCCGCCTGGGCCATGGATTCTTGTCCTGGTATAACTGTTTTCCCTTAATTCATGCTCTGCACTGTATCTGCTCCAGGCATTCTTCTGATTATAAGCTGCATATTCCTTAATTCATGCTCTGTACTGTGTCCATTCTACGCATTCCTCCGATTATGAACTAAGATAAATTATAGGTATATATGTAGGGAAATGTTCTTTAGGCACTCATACTATCAACTATTATATGATTATATAAAAGGAAATAGCTGAGCAGCAACACTATAAAGTGAGACATTCCTCAAGCCCTAACTGTGCCAGGGTTCTGCTTAGCCCTCATTCCTCGGTGTCTATATGGGGGGCTACCCACATTCAGTTGAGGGAAGTTTCTCATAAACATTTATTGAGTATTTAATTTTCTTTATTCTGTGCTAAGCACTTGGAATTCAGGTATTTAATGCCTTTAAAGAAACTCAAGCCAGTGAGTGGAAGAACACAAGCAGATCATTTCAACAAGATATGGTAGTTCTACCCAACTGAGGTGTTGTGGCAGCCTGGAGGATGGGAGGGTATGTCAAAGAACATTGCTTCTAATGACAGGGGGAAGCATGAGAGAACATTTTCAGATTGGCCGGGCATGGTGGCTGACGCCTATAATCCCAGCACTTTGGGAGGCCGAGGCAGGTAGATCACAAGGTGAAGAGATCGAGACTATCCTGGTCAACATGGTGAAGCCCCAACTCTACTGAAAATACAAAAAAATGAGCTCGGCATGGTGGTGCACACTTGTAGTCCCAGCTACTCGGTAGGCTGACACAGGAGAATTGCTTGAACCCAGGAGACGGAGGTTGCAGTGAGCCAAGATAGTGCCAGGGCACTCCAGCCTGGGTAGCAAGAGTGAAACCCCGTCTCAAAAGGAAAAAGAAAGCATTTTCAGAGCAGACTAGTCTTCCTTCAAGCTCCCATAGGAGAGGATCCTGGGGCAGGGATGGTGTAGGGCAGGCGCCTCTCTAGGGTGGGAGATTTGCAGCATTCTGAGAGAAAGAGCATCCCTTACAAGACATTGGGGACATAAATGTAGGTGAAAGGGTTGGAGGTTTCTAATCAATTTTATTTAGTCATGGATGTACACTGCTGAGAGGCCCTTCTGTGCTGGGCCCTTAGCTAAGAACCATGACCACAGAGGTGAGTAAAACAGGATCCCAACCTTCACATAATTCTCAGTCTGGTGACTGGTGATTCATGAGAAGTGTGGTCATGGTGGGTTCATTGGAACCAGTGGCCGATGCCGCATGAGATGACCTCAGTGGATGGCCTGGGCCAGTGACCCTGGACTTCAGCCGTATTTCAGCATCTCGAGGTACAGTACACCCATGCCTCTGCTCCATGTTGAGTCAAAGCAGTTAACACAGCCAAGGTATTCAGAGGACACTGGTGATATCAGTAGCTATTGAGTGTTCCAGCTGGGGAAACAAAGAATTAAATTTAATAAGTCTTCTAAATTTGTGCTTGCCATAATGATAAATAACTTTACCTTCATAGTGAATTATATCCTGGCAAATTAATTATAACTTGACATAATGAGAAATAACTTTATCCTGAGCACAGCTGACACACAAGTCCTTGAGGACACATGCCTGAGGATTCTGATGAAGATATGATGTCCAAATATATGCACGGTTTGACCTACAGTCCACCTTTGAAACTGGGAAGACCCAGTTTCAAATTCAAGGTTGCTTTGAGTAGAAATTCACTTGACCTCTCTTTCCATGGCAATGGGGCCAATCTTCCCTGAGCTGCCCCTTACAAGAAAAGGAATCATACTGGTAAGATTTCAGACTTAGCAGACATGGGTAAGTAAAGAAGTCTTACAAATCTCTTCTAGTCACCTAGCAAGAAACCAGAAATTTAGCAAGTTCATTCACATTAAGGACAGTTGTGTGCACTAGATCACAGACCCTGAGACATGAAGAACAGACCCCCTAACAAGGGAAAATATTTCTTCCTGTCCTAGGACATCACTGCCAACTTCAGGGAAGTGGGAACACAGCTGCCCGCTTTACAGTATGGGTTACTTTTGTGCCTGGAATGTGTCTGACGTCCTGAGACCTGTACCCATTTCAGGGAGCCTTGGGAGGAGCCTGAATCACGGATGGAATTGGACAGTACATGGAGATGGTTGAGCAGGATGAGGGTAAGTGCAGGGGTATGGCCAGGTCATACTGGGAGACAATGAGCGGCGCTGATGGGGACAGACAAAGAGAAAGTCAACAGTTTGTGCTTCAGCATCAGAAACTCAAACCAATAACGAATTTGCTTTTATAAGTAATAAGTATTTTTCTATTTACATGAAAATTTAATCTCCAAAGAGAAATCATAAAAATAGTAAGTCCAGGGCATAAAACCTAAACCATAGCTCATATTTATTCTTTCTAAATGGAGCTATCAGTAAAATCTTCTTCATAAAATACATATTGTGGTTATAAGAAGGCAAAAGTCGGCCGGGTGTGGTGGCTCGCACCTGTAGTCCCAGCACTTTGGGAGGCCAAAACGGGTGGATCACAACGTCAAGATATCAAGACCATCTTGGCCAACATGGTGAAACCTTGTCTATGCTAAAAACACAAAAATTATCTGGACTTAGTGGTATGTGCCTATAGTTCCAGCTAGTCAGGAGACTGATGCAAGAGAATCACTTGATCCCAGGAGGCAGAGGTTGCAGTGAACTGAGATTGTGCCACTGCATTTCAACCTGGTGACAGAGCAAGACTCTGTCTCAAAAAAAAAAGAGAAAGAAAAAAATCAAAAGTCTTACTGAGAATCATTGGTATTCCATAGAAGAGAGAATGAAATACAGTCAAGGAGAGACCCAAGTCTCATACTTCTCTTGTATGTTCCAAAGTTCCAGGGAAATTCCAGGTAATAGAGGTTATTTCCCATGCTGTTAAAGCAAGGTTGCAGACACTTCTGAATTTTGGTAGCAATACTCTAGGAGGGCACATCTCTGTCCTGAAAAATGATACAGGAATGAATACTCTTCTTGTGACTCATTCTGGTCATTCATCCAGCATCACAGAAACCAAACAATGGAAATATGGCTAAATTCGTGATTTCCTAGCCCTCTTGTTCAGGTTTCTTACCTGATTGTTAGTATAACAGCATTACCTTGAAGATTATGATGAAGATATGCTGTCCAAATGTGTGCACAGTTTTGAGCAAAATACCTGGTACAAATTGGTCAAGAAATAATAACTGAATAATTATATGAATATTTACTGAATGACATGGATTCTATGAATAATTATGGAACAATTATTGTAATTGCTTTTACTGGCAGTTCTCAAAACTCATCTATGTGTGACCTCAAGTAAGCCACATAACTTTGTGAACCTGCAGTTTCATCATTTTTAAAATGAAGAAACCTGACAGCTTTTCATTCTGCCACAGGTCAGGCTTCCCAGATACCAGAACATACATTTAGTTAAAGCCTTTGATATATCTCAAAGCAGTATCATTACAGTGTAGTTGGAGGATGGTGGGGGCTGCAGAGAGGCACGCTTTCCAGTGGGATTGATCCAGTCCTCCTTCCTTCATTGCCACATGAATACTGGGCAGGGTCACACCCATTGCACCCTCAACTTAGGCAAGCCCAGCAGCCAAACATAGGAGACTTGGGCTACAGAACAGTCTCCCAAATCCCAGGCTCACAAAACCTAGGTGGAGATGACGGCTCAGAAAGTGAGGGCGTGGTTCAGGGGATCACTCTTCCCTACTCATTCCTCTCATCTCAAATTCACCTTCTATTGCACAGCAACATGGAGGACCACCAACCACCCCTGACCATCACCTTGATCTTGCTGTGTTTGGTTAGTGGGATGCAACCACATATCAGTGGTGTTAGATGAACTCAGAAAAATATCTATCAAACAGTATTCCATAAGGGGACCACTCACGGCCCTGTTATTTTCAATATGTGGAAAAAATGAAATGAAAACAAAAAAATTGTATCAGGTTTCCAAGATTTCCCAAGATAGATGGTCACATATGCTTTCAAGAGATCTCTTTAGAAATGATTTCAATGACGTGACACCTTGAAAAGAGCTCTTCTGGGACTAGAATGACATCCATAAGTGAGAAATATGAGATGTAGTGTTCAGTCACATTAAAAAACAAATCATCCCACATAGAGGAAGATTTGGACGTAGGGACGTCACACTGGTCTTAAGTGTAATGAAAAGCCTCTTCTGCCACAAACATCAGTGTAGTGGTATCTGCCAGTAAGAAAAACTAAATAGCATAACCATGGGATGCAGCAAGAAGAATATTGAGCCAGGAAAGAAAACATTTTGAAGAAATGAATTACTCATTGACTTTTCTTTTCTTTTTTTTTTTTTTGTTTTTTTGTTTTTTTTTTTGGGGACAGAGTTTCGCTCTTGTTACCCAGGCTGGAGTGCAATGGCGCGATCTTGGCTCACCGCAACCTCCGCCTCCTGGGATCAGGCAATTCTCCTGCCTCAGCCTCCTGAGTAGCTGAGATTACAGGCACGCGCCACCATGCCCAGCTGATATTTTGTATTTTTAGTAGAGACGGGGTTTCACCATGTTGACCAGGATGGTCTCGATCTCTTGACCTCGTGATCCACCTGCCTCGGCCTCCCAAAGTGCTGGGATTACAGGCTTGAGCCACCGCGCCCGGCCCCTCATTGACTTTTCTAGTGGATACAGAAAAAACTGCAGAAGACTCAGAGCATATGATGGCAGTGTAATAGATTGGTATCTTAAACTTGTGGAAAAGACTTCAATTTTGTTTTAACATATGAGAAGGAGAGGTGACTGACTTCATGACTAGCATTAAGAAAGTATCACGTGTTGGGAAACTGCTTCTGCCTTGATGGTTTTATACACATAAGAAATGAAAAATGAGGCATATGCTTAGATGTATTGGGAATGAGATGGGACTGTGGCATTGTCACAACGGTACACAAATACTGAGAGTGACTTATAGAGTAATGGTCCCCATCTGTTGTGACCTCAGGTGAGACCTGGAGGGCTGTGTTTTAGCAAACCCTGGGCAATGGAACGAAGGGCTCCTAAGATTCCATGACACGCCCGGCTTCTAATTCTGTTATTGCAACAGCAGACCGTTACCTGGGACACTGGCCACTATCTCCCATACTCTTGTCAGAGTCTGAGCTGCAGACAGCGCCTTCAGTTCTCAGCTCAAGCATTGCGAACCTTGTTTTTGCTGTTAAGGACCCTAAAGTACTGTGAGGAGGGATCAGGTTTTTCTCAACAGTAAGTTAAGAATTTGAGTTACTTACATCCCCCGGTCCTGATTAAAACTATTTGATTTCCAGTTTTTAACCCATCATGTGTTTGGGTTTCTTCTCCCCAGTCCCTGGCTCTCCCTGTGGTGCCCCAAATGTCACCATCGTGGGGGCATCCTGCAGGACGTGTTCTGGGAAGACGACAGAGGCGAACTTTCCAAATACCATGGAGAATTCCTACTCCCAGCAGGAAGAGACCAAACCGAATATCAGAGCCAGCAAAAATAGACTTCTTATGAGCCAGGTGGCCTACTTCCTGAACTACCAGCTGAAGACATACAGTAAGTTCTATAGGTTGACCACCATGAAAGTGATGAATGATGTCCTATCTTGTCTCAAGAAACTAGCCGTTCTCTTCATCAAACTTAGTTTCATCCTTCCCATACTTGTAGAAAATAGCAATGGGTATTTTAACATTTAGTTAAGGATGGAAGACAGTGGCAAAAGTATTTAGCAACTTTTCCACGTCTTCAGTAAGGTGGGTGTTGGACTGGGGTTACAATCCCAGCTATTGATTTCTGACACAGGCACAGAACCACCTGTTTTTCTCAGCAAAAGGCTAAATCATGTTTACAGGAATCCTCTCTGTACCATCTAAGATCCTGCAGACAAGTAGCATCTAGACTGTTGGTCTAAATGTCTGAGGCTACTGAACTCCCTTTCAGTTCTGGTTTCTGCTAAGGCCCAGTAGGCAAAGCTGTGTTCTGGGGACACTGAGGGAAACATGGTGATAGCACACAGTACCCACTGTGAGGAGCTGGAAGGGGACCCTGTTCCTAATAGAACCTGTGGTATCTGTAAGTGGCACCATCAAGAGCAGGGAATACCCTGGTACTGGTGCCTCAGCCTGCCAATTATCTGGGATCCCCAGTGGGCACCACCACATTTGACTAACTTTTGTATTTTCAGTAGAGGCGGGGTTTCACCCTATTTGCCAGGCTGGCCTTGAACTCCTGAGATCAAGGGATCTGCCCTCCTGTGCCTCCTAATGTGCTGGGATTCCAGGCATGAGCCACCATGCCGGCTCCACAGATTCTTTTTTCAGTAAAAGTTGTTAGAGTTCATCCCTTGGTCCAGTCTCCTATATAAATTTCTCCAACCATTCATTGACCATGACATATGATGAGATAAATCAATATTGCAGCAATACTTCTGGAAAGTAGGGCAATTTTTGGAAGATTTTGGGAAAAATGTTTTAATTTTTTGTACTGACTTAGGTCAGAGGATATGATTAAGATCTACCAGAGGAGGGAGATTTTGTCCCATGGATCTGAAAAGCAGGCTCATATACTTCTAGGGCAATTTAGTCTAGGGCCCGTTAGAACAATCCTGTCAGAATACCACATTCTTACACCAAGAATATTTTAAGTCCTTGTGCTATGAGTGGACACTGATTTGGTCTGTGTGAAGTGTGATTTGCTTAATGTGACCTGCTCTTCTGAATTTGCTTACAGGAGATCAAAATGATCAGAATGAAGAACAGAAATGCAGAGACAGCAAAAATAAACTTCTTACGAGTCAAGTGGCCTACTACCTGGGCTGCCGGCTGAAGACAGAAAGTAAGTTCTATAGGTTCACTGTCACGAAAGTGCTGAACAATGATGTCCTGTCTTCTTTCTGAGAAATGATACACTCTTTTCTTCAAAGTTAATTTCATTCTTCCCATACTTCTAAGAAAATAACAGTGGGTATTTTAACATTTAGTTAAAGATGGAATACAGAGGACAGACTATTTAGCAACTTTTCCATGTCTACAGTAAGGCGGCTGTGGGACTAAGGTTAAAATCCCAGCTATTGATTCCTGACACAGGCACAGAACCACCTGTTCTTCTCAGCAAGAGGCTAAATCATGTTTACAGGAATCTTCTCTGTACCATATAAGTTCCTGCAGAACTTATAAACAAGATAATGTTAGGAGGGTTTATGTCCTGGCTTCATGGTGACTGAGTAGCTAAGACAAGTTGACTTTAAGGAGATCAGGAGTGGAGATGAGAAGAGTAAAAGCGGGGAAACGACATCTTCAAATCAATAGGCAAGGCTGTCAGTGACATCCCTCAGTCCCGATTGAACCAATTGGATGTCACCAGTTTCTAATTCATTGTGTGTTTGGGTTTCTTCTCCCCAGTCCCTGGCTTTCTGTGTTCTGCCCCAAACATCAGCAAGGTGGCATCTGACAGGCCTCCTTCCAGAAAAAACACAGAGTTGAACGTTCCAGATGGCATTGAGAAATCCTGCTCTGAACAGGAAGATAACAAACCTAATATTGGAGTCAGCAAAAATAGACTTCTTATGAGTCCGGTGGACTACTCCCTGAACTATCTGCTGACGACATACAGTAAGTCCTATAGGTTGACCACCACGAAAGTGATAAATGATGTCCTGTCTTGTCTGGAGAAACTAACCACTCTCTTCATCAAAATTAATTTCATCCTTCCCATACTTGTAGAAAACAGCAGTGGGTATTTTAACATTTAGTTAAAATGGAAGACAGATGCCAAAATATTTAGCAACATTTCCACATCTGCAGTAAGGTGGGTGTGGGACTGGGGTTACAATCCCTGCTATTGATTCCTGACACAGGCACAGAACCACCTGTTTTTCTCAGCAGGAGGCTGAATCCATGTTTACAGGAATCCTCTCTGTACCGTATAAGGTCCTACAGACAAGCAGCATCTAGTCTGCTGGTCTAAAGGTCTGAGGCTACTGAACTTCCATGCAGTTCTGCTTTCTGGTAAAGACCCAGTAGGCAAAGCTGTGTTCTGGGGATCCTGGGGGAAACTCGGCGATAGCAGACAATACCCCCTGTGAGGAACTTAAAGGGGACCCTGCTGCTAATAGAACCTGTGGTATCTGTAAGTGGCACCATCAAGAGCTGGGAGTACCCTGGTACTGGTGCCTTAGCCTGCCAATTATCTGGGATCCCCGGTGGCACCACCACACCTGGCTAATTTTTGTACTTTATGTAGAGGCAAGGTTTCACCATGTTGGCCAGGCTGGTCTTGAACTCCTGAGGTCAGGTGATCTGTGTGCCTGGGCCTCCTAAGTAGCTTGGATTCCAGGTGTGAGCCACCATGCTGTCTTCACAGATTCTTTTTAAAGTAAAGGTTGTTAGAATTCATTCGTTGGTCCAGTAGCCTATATAAATTTCTCTAAACATTCATTGACCATGATATATGATGTGATAAGTAGTATTGTAGCAACTCTTCTGGAAAGTAGTTAGGGCAATTTTTGAAGATTTTGGGGGAAAAAGTTTTAATTGTTTGCACTGACTTAGGTCACAGGACATATGATTAATATCTACAAGATGAGAGAGATTTTGTCCCATGGGTCTGAAGAGCAGGCTCATCTACTTCTGAGGTGACTTAATCTAGAGCCCGATAGAACATTCCAGTCAGTATATCACATTATTACACTGAGAATATTTTATGTCCTTGTGCTATGACTGGACACTGATGTGGTCTTGTGTGAAGTGTGATTTGCTCAATGTGACCTGCTCCTCTGAATTTGTTTACAGAAGATCAAAAAGATCACGAGAAGAAACAGAAATACAGAGACAGCAAAAATAAAATTCTTATGAGTCAAGTGGCCTACAACCCAGGCTGCCGGCTGAAGACAGAAGGTAAGTTCTATAGATTCACCGTTATGAAAGTGCTGAACGATATTCTGTCTTTTCTCTGAGAAACTGAACACTCTCTTCATCAGAATTTATTAAATTTTTCCCATACTTCTAGGTAAATATAAATGGGTATCTTAACATTTTGTTAAAAATGGATGAGAGAGGCCACAGTATGTAGCACCTTTTCCACATCTGCAGTAAGGAAGGTGTGGACTAACGGTGAAGTCCAGCTGTTGATTTCTGACACAGGCTCACAACCACCTGTGTTTCTCAGCAAGAGGTTGTTGATTTCTGACACAGGTGCAGAACCACCTGTGTTTCTCAGCAAGAGGCTAAATCATGTTTACAGGAATCCTCTCTGTACCACCTAAGATCCTGCAGACAAGTAGCATCTAGTCTGTTGGTCTAAATGTCTGAGGCTACTGAACTTCCACTTGGTTCAGGTTTCTGCTGAGGCCCAGTAGGCAAAGCAGTGTTGTGGGGACACTGGCGTAAACATGGTGATGGCACACAGTACCTACTGTGAGGAGCTTGAAGGGGACCCTGCTCCTAATAGAACCTGTGGTATCGGTAAGTGGCACCATCAAGAGCAGGGAGTACCCTTGTATTGGTGACTCACCCTCCCAGTTACCTGGGATCCCTGGTAGATACCACCACACTTGGCTAGTTTTTGTATTTTTAGTAGAGGCGGGGTTTCACCATGTTGGCCAGGTGGCTGTGTTTCTCAGCAAGAGTCTAAGTCATATTTACAGGAATCCTCTCTGTACCACCTAAGATCTTGCAGAAAAGTAGCATCTAGTCTGTTGGTCTAAATGTCCGAGGCTACCGAACTTCCACTTGGTTCCGGTTTCTGCTGAGGCTCAGTAGGGACAGTTCTGTTCTGGGGGAAATTCAATGGTAGCACACTATACCTGCTATTGGGAGCTTAAAGAGGACTTTGCTCCTTACATAACCTGTGGTATCTGTAAGGGGCTTTATCTAGAGCAGTGATTACTCTGGTCATAGGGACGTCCTGCTTTCTGTGCAGAGGCTCTTGTTGGTAAAGAGGAAGAACGACAGCACCCACGACTTTGTGGAGGCAGCAGTGTGTAGAGGAGGGACCCTGGGCCAGTCTTCTGAGCTCCATCCAAGTTGCTTATTTTGTTTGTTACTCAGTTTTGTCATCTGTTCGTAGGATACTATAATAATGCCTACCTCTGTCAATTGCTGCACTGAATTAGATGGCCTGTTGATTGTAACTCTCCCGGGACAGTTGTTGGCACAGAGTAAACACTGTCTATTAGTTACTCATTCTACTGTGTCTAGCATAAGAGAAACTTTATTATTCTGCGTATATTTCCTTTATGGCCTTATGAGAGACTCCAGACCTCCATACTTCCACAATGACAGTTTTGTCAGTGGTATTTTCTTTCCTCCCAGTGGCCATGACATGACTAGGACTTTCTGAATGAGAACACAGATGGGAAACCCATGGGGTTGGAGGTCACAGTATTGTGAATGTCCCTTTTTCCGTGGATGGTGGTCTTTGTAACAAGAGGCAGCATCTCTCCAGTTTTAAAGGACATGAAGGAAGCTGCAACAGGAGGGCGGTTGTTGGAGTGGAAAGAGCTCTGGAGTAAGAATGAAGGTTCCCAGGCTGTATCTTCAGCAGTGTTCCTAGGAACTGTCAGTGAGTGTTGATTTCTCCTTCCTTTCTCTGTCTTCATCTGCAAAGGCAGGTAAATTTCTCTCTCTCCATCAGCAAAGGCAGACATCTTGCCATGTCTGAAGCATTCAAATGTGTGAACACTTATGACCACTTATCACAATGAGATAAAGCCCCTCGCTGTGTGGTGTTGGAGAAAACACTTGATGTGTGGGCATTTTGTGGTAGGAAGTGGTTCAGACCGGAGCACTCCCCATGGAGAGAATGTCCCTGAATAACATAGCAGAAGCCACTTGGAGGACCTGTGGAGTCACCTGATGTGCAGAGGATTGTGGGACAAGCTTGTTTATCCTCTCCTAATAGAAAGAAATAGGTTGTAAATGTGAACTGTGACAGAACACCAAGCCTGTCCCTGGGAATCAGATCTGTGTCAGGATGGTGGAGAGAGCTGCCAAAGTCCAGAGAGAGGCTACACAAGCCTCCAGTGATGTGGAGAGCAGAAGTGTTTTCAACATTTGGACTCATCTTGATGGTGAGCCTCCTGATCAGAAATGAACTGCCTGGTAGATCAGGAAACCATGCCAGGGCATTTTGTTAAAGAGAAAACATGAGAGCTTTCAGTAGAACAGGGACCTATACACAGGTGTTCATGTCCCTGCGCACGTTGGGCTGACTGTCCTTGCAGAGTGTGAAATGGGAAATATCTGAATGAACACATCTGTACTTGCAGAAAACAACAAAGATGAGGATGAAGATATTCATGTTGTGGAGGCTGAGAAAATACAGGAATCACGTGCCCCCAGGTAACACTGAATAATCAGGAGCAAGTAATGGGTGGTAAAGTATGGAAAAGGTCTAGAAGCACACCCTCTCAGGCATTTTCCATGGGCCAAAAGCCTGCATTCCCTTGGCCACAATATGTTCAACCCAACTTAGACACAGGGTGTGGCAGCTGTTGTGGTTCTTTCTATGTGCTGAGTGCCATGTCTGAATTATACAGGGATAACTGAGTCCCTTTCATTCTCGGCTCCTTTCTGCCCAGTGTAATGAATATCAGCTGCTGTCTTTCTCTCCAATTCACATGACAACCATGCTCTGTTGCAGAGAGGAGGATTGCCTGTTTCCTCTCAAAGGGAACCTCCCATTTGCCTTCTGGGACTACTCTCTCATTCCTCTTGTGAAAACCAGCTAGGACCCCATGGGGTCCAATCCCTCTTTGTTTAATCTTCTGTCATCTCTATCCCATCTGGCTCATCAGGGAGGTGCAGAAGATTGAAGTCAAGAAAGTTCCTGAGGACTCACTGGAGAAATGTGTCATCAGTCGTTCAAATATCTATGGCCCTACTGACTCCAGCCAGCCTCACGGAGACACCAATGAAATCACATTTGAGGAAGAAAACGTCGACTCTGCGCTGGTTGTAGAGAGTGAGTCATCTCATGATGTGGTGGAGGATGCTCTAATCATTCTTTCAGGTGACCTCTACATTCCTTGTTTTTGGTACCTCTGTCTAGGCTGAGGAATATCAACTCTGAAGATAGGCTCTATACACACAAATTGGTTTGAATAAAAATATATCATGGGATACTAAACACAGATACCAGAGAATTTTTATCTCATCCTCAGCTCATGCCATGGGTTTGTCTCTGAGGCCCAAGTATCAAGTTACCAGACCCCAGACCAGTGTGACAAGCTCATGGTCACCTGTGTGCAGGAGGTGTACAGGAGATGTCTGCCAGGTCTCCTAGCTTTGATTCAGTATCTCTCATGTCATTATGTCATCTGTCCCTGAACAATGTCCATGGAGTTTCCGTTTATTTTTAAGGAACCTGGGAGCCTTGCCTATTTATTTGGAGAGATTGTTCCCCAGAGATTGTTTCACTGCCCTGAGCTTCAGTCTTGATCTCTTTTAAGCCAGCTTGCTTATCTGCATAGGCACCTTGAAACCAGGATGAATACATTTCCTCTTTACCTTGCTAATATGTTTCCATAAAGCAAGGCTCAGCCCTGGCTCTCCACTCCATCCATGCAATGGCCGATCTGATGTTTCTTCGTAGCATCATGTATTGTTTCTTGTTGTTGTTGAGATGGAGTCTCCTTTTGTCACCCAGGCTGGAGTGCAGTGGCACCATCTTCGCTTACTGCAGTCTCCACTTCCTGGGCTCCAGTGAATCTGCTCTCTCTGCCTCCTGAGTAGCTGGGACCATAGGTGCCCCCCAACACACCTAACTAATTTTTGTATTTTTAGTACAGATGATGTTTCACCATGTTTGCCAGGCTGGTCTTGAACTCCAAACTTTAAGCGGTTCACCCACCTTATCCTTTGAAATCACAGATTTTTTTTTTTAGAGATGGAGTCTCCCTCTGTTATTCAGGCTGGAGTTCAGTTGCATGATCTCAACTCACTGCAACCTTCGCTTCCTGGGTTCAGATGATTCTACTGCCTCAGCCTCCCGAGTAGCTCAGACTGCAGGCATGTGCCACCGTGCCCAGCTAATTTCTTTGTATTTTTATTAGAGACACGCTTTTACCGTGGTAGCCAGGATGGTCCCGATCTCTGACCTCATAAAGTGCTCACCTCGGCCTTTGAGAATGCTGAGATTACAGGTGTGAGACACCATGCCTGGTGGCATGGTGGCTCAGATTCTTTTTTTTGTTTTGTCTTTTTTTATTCAGCCTCCCTAGAGACTGTCAAAAATTGTCAGTGCCGACTCTATTGCATGTCATCACGGCGGGGTATTGGGAAAAGTTTTCAATTAGCAAAAATCTCATCTGAGATAAAACTCATTGGCTACGATACTGGCACTGAGCAAAGCTCACAGATTCTTTTTAAAGCAAGTGCTGTTAGAATTTACATATCAGTCCAGTTTCATGTATAGATGCCTCTAACCATTCAATGATCTTGGTACCTGGTGAGATAAGTCAGTATTGCAGCAACACTCCCAGGAAAGAGTTTGACTCATTTTTGGAGATTTTCTGGGAAAAAATTTGGTTTAACTTTGCATGGACTCAGACAGAGAATATGGCATGATGGTCTACCCGTAGAGGGAGATTTTGGCCTGTGTGTCTGGAAAGCAGGCTCACCTACTCACCAGGCTTCATCTAGGGCACCCTGGAATAGTCCTGTCAGAATTTGTATTCTTGCCCTGAGAATATTTCTGTGCTTGTGCTATGACTAAACACTGATTTGGTCATATGTGAAGTGTGATTTGCTTAATGTGACCTGCGTCTCTGAATTTATTTACAGACAGACAAAGTGATGATGAGGAAGAGGAAGAAAGAGGGCCAATGCCCCCCAGGTAATGCTGTGGAGTTGTGGGCTGTTAGTTCAGTAGTGACACCTGGAGACTGTAGATCCTGGGAAAACGAGGAATTGATGACTAGAACTCTTTCTTCCCTTCACCAGCTACAAATTGTTGTTATTGACAATGTTGTGGGTGATTGGAGGCACTTGTATAGGCTTTAATTTCTCACTCCTCCCAAGATAGAAACCTGCGATCAGATGAGCCAGGTGAACTCAGCAAACAGGGATTTCCTGGTTTCGCCTGTTCTCCCCACTGTGTTTAAACCCAGGGAGAGACGCCTATATGCTTTCTGTCCATTTGTTGTGAGCATGTTTGCTAGGATTTGTGAAGAGAAGGAATTCAAAACATAGACATATGATGTCAAAATACTGGAAAAGGGAGGCCCTTAATACACAAGATCTTCGTGTCTGAAATACCTCAGGAGCTCTGTTCACTTGAATGCCACATGCAAACTTCAACACAACTTATGCGAGGCAGTTGAAGCCCCGTGTTAGTTCTTGAGCTGTAAGTCGCGATGATAGTTTACAGGGAGAGTCTGGATGGCCTGCAGTGGCTCATCTGTGGCAAATGCACTGAGCACATACTCCTCATTTGTGCTCTGTCCCCAGGGTAGTCACCCTCCACCCTGCATTTAGAAAGGATAGGTTTTTTTTTCTCTTGAAGGAAAAATGCCTTTGCTTTCTGTGACCATTCCATTCTGACTTCCATCATATCAGCTGGGAGACTTTGTTGTCTAATCTCTGTTGGTTTCATCTTCTGTCATCCCTGTCCTGCCTGGCTCATCAGGAATCTGCAGGAGTCTGTGGAGGAGGAAGCCCCCCAGGAGTCCTGGGATGAAGGCTATTCAACTTCTCTCAATTCCTCCTGGCACATCTGCCTTCAATGAGTCTTACAGGAGCAACTTGCAGTCATTAGAGGAGCAGCAAGTCAACTTGGCTGTCGACATAGGCAGTGAGTACTCCATTGTGAAGTTGATAAAGCTCCAATATGTGTCCCAGGTAGACCCCATGGTCTTCGGGCCTTGCTCCGCTGGCCGGGCTGAGAGTTGTCATTACAGTGGGCTGAACCTGTCCATCAGGGTAGATGTCAATCACTCTGGATTCCAGTCTGAAGCATGGGCATGCGGTGGGTCAGTGAGCTTTGCTCTCTCTCTAGTCTCAGTCCATGCTGTCACACCCTGGACCAACTGTCAGGACATTGAAACCCAAGGCAGGTGTTGCCAACTCACACCAAGCCGTGCAGCGCATGCCCACGAGTTGTCTCAATCTGAATTAAATGTCTCTTGCCAGCTACCATGTTCCTCATGAGTTTTGTTCCCCATGCATGTCTGTGAGGTTCCTTCCTGTTTGTACAAACTTGGCATAACTGTTTGTACAAACTTGGGATAAGGGGATAATGGTCTACCAGAATAGGGACGTTTCACCATTGGTTCTGAGACACAAACCAAGGAATCTCTATCATGATTGGCTTTGAGACCTCCTAAAGTCTGTCTCTCATTTTATCCTGTTCTCATGCTGAGGAGCCTGAGGTCCCTGTGCAGAGATTAGACAGTGGACAGTTATGGGTGTAGGGGAATGGCTTATTTCGTCTGTCCCTATCTGAATTTATTGCAGAGATTAAAAAGGACCAAGAAGAGGAAGAAGACCGAGGTCCACTGTTCCCCAGGTAACTTTGAGCAATTGTGAACAGCTAATGTTGTGTTGACACCTGGAGACACCAGGTCCAGGGAAAACAGAGCCGGCTGACAATATCGATACCATCTTTTCAACGAAGCCTGAATTATTCCTACTAACATTGCTGTTGGTTTTCATTGCAGCAGATATTTAGGTTTCCATTATTTCCTCCCCTTACCATTTACTAACTACTGTAGTTTGACCATGCTTGTTTTTATGATCAGTGTACGCTGTGTGTCCTCAGGATACTAACTCAGAGTGTGCTTTTACCCCCTCATCAGTGTGTCACCTGGACGGTTCACTGAGCTTACTTTCTCTCTCTTTCTCTTTCATTCTTTTTACCCTACTCTTGTCCATCCCAGCATAAGGCAATAATTTGTTGCATTATTAATGGATCTATGTTTTTTCTTTATTAACCACTTTCTTGTGCTACCCATAAAATCTAGTTGGGGCTCTGTGGTGTCTTATTTTCCCTGACTTATTCTTTGGTTTTTCCTCCCTTTTTAGGCTCAGCATGGAGCTGGTGGAAGCAGAAGAGCCTGGTCATCTAGTACTCACTGGATATATTGTGTTCAACATATACAGCATATCTTGAGTTTTATTACACATGCCAGGCTTACACATATGCCATTTTTTTATTTGTAGAAGAGCATGTTCGGTTGACTTTGGACATGGACAGTAGGTTTCTTACTATGACGGTGATAAGACTCCACCTGGTCTCCTGGATAGGGGTCATATTCCCACACTAAGACAACATGTCACATGGGACTCTGCCGGTTCAGAGTATGAACAACGCCATGTTCTTGCTGAAAACGCTTAGCCTGAGTTTCATAGCCCGAGGTAATCTCCAGACAACTTCAGAATATAGAACAGTGAGCAGCACAACTGACCTGTCTCCTTCAGACAGCCCATGTCACCACAAATCACACAACTAAAAGGAGAAGAGACATTTTGGGTTGAAAAAGAGTAAAAAGTTAATGTAGCCACATTTCTTTAGTTCTTTTGAACCCAAAGTGTCTCCTCATCTTTTTGTTGTTGTCGTTGATGGTGGTGACATGGGCTTGTTTGTAGAGGACAGATCAGCTGTCTGGCTCAATGGTCTGTACTCTGAAGTTGTCTGAAAATGTCCTCATAATTAAATTCGGCCTAAGTGTTTTTTGGGGGAACACTGCAGGGTCAATGCTACCTCACCCATCTGCAGGTAGAGACAGTCCCATGTGTCTACCACCATGATCGTGATACCAGGACTGTTCCACCATGTGTCTATCACCATGATCGTGATGCCAGGACTGTTCCACCATCTGTCTATCACCATGATCGTGATACCAGGACTGTTCCACCATCTGTCTATCACCATGATCGTGATGCCAGGACTGTTCCACCATCTGTCTATCACCATGATCTTGATACCAGGAGTGTTCCACCATTTGTCTATCACCATGTTTGTGATGCCAGATCTGTACCTTTCAGAGACACCTTATTTATACTGAAGTAATTGGAAAAATGGTTTTTAGAAGTATTAATATCCTGTATTCAAATGATCATCCCTCAACATTTTATTATTGATTAATCATCCCTAGATGTGTCAATTATTATATTTACATTTGTACACTGGAAATTTTCTATTTTTACTGTATCTTTGCTTTTTCTAGTTTCTGTTGTTGAACAAAAAATATTCCCTGCCTGCATTTCAATTTTTGCCAAAGTTAATTTTATTCTATACAGTAAAAAATTTTTGTCTTTAAGATAAGACCATCAGCATAAGGTTACAGCAAAACAGAGATGTTGCTAATTTTTAAGCCTTTGTTAATTTCTGGCTGACGAGACAGGTAGTTTATTTCATTAGCTGCTAATATCTATTTAAGTGAGCAGCCAGAGAAATGTCTAACAGACTAAGGATGTGCAAAGCCCAGTCCATACTCTTTGAGTCTTTTAAACTATTTCAGAAGAGAAGAGAATACACAGATTCCACATATGTGGACAGGAAGGAAAATACACTAAAAGACACAGCCGTTTCCAAAAACAGAATAGAAAATCCATTAGAATTCATATTTTCTCATGAAATGTAATCTCTCTAAACTTAACCATTATATGAAAGTCAATTCTTAATATGCCACATTACATTGACTGTTGACATTCATAAGAATTCATTTCCATGTTTGTTATTCGAAGTAGCAAAAGGACTATAATCCTTTTTTTTCTTTGCCATGATCTTTTAAGATTGAGGATTGTTTTTCAAAATAAAATCAAAGATTTTAAACATTGAAAATTGGCATTAAAATTTATGTTTTCAAAGTAATGATGTTTGACTCAGGCTGTCTTATTCCTGTTTGTAGTATAACTGTCAAGTGATCATTTAACCATTCTTTAAATGTTTCAAATTACTGGGAACAAACCACATTCCAGGGTGTATCTTCTTTTGTTTATTTTACTTTAAGTTCTGGGGTACATGTGCAGCTCTTGCAGGATTGTTACACAGGTATACACATGCCATTTTGGTTTGTTGCCTCCACCCCCCCATCACCTGCATTAGGTATTTCTCCTAATGCTATCCCTCCCCAATCTCCCCACCCCCTGCTATCCCTCCTCTAGCTCCCCCAGCCCCTCACAGGCCCCAGTGTGTGATGTTCCCCTCCCTGTGTCCATGTGTTCTCATTGTTCAACACCCACTTATGAGTGAGAACATGCGGTGTTTCTTTTCTGTTCCTGTGTCAGTCTGCTGAGAATGATGGTTTCCAGTTTCATCCATGTCCCCGTAAAGGACATGAACTGATCGTTTTTTAATGGCTGCATAGTATTCCATGGTGTATATGTGCCACATTTTCTTTATCCAGTCTATCTTTGATGGGCATTTGGTTTGGTTCCAGGTCTTTGCTATTGTAAGCAGTGCTGCAGCAAACATATGTGTGCATGTGTCTTTATAATAGAATGTTTTCCCAGTCATGGGATTGCTGGGTCAAATGGTATTTCTGTTTCTAGATCCTTGAGGCATCGCCACACTGTCTTCCACAATGTGCCTGAATATTATGTCTTTCTCTAGGTTTAGAAAGTTTTGTTATTATTTCTTTGAAGAAACTTTCTCCTCTTTGCTCCTTCTCAACCCCCTAAGGCCAATGAATCTTTGATTTTCTCTTTTGAAACCCTCTTCTAGATCTCTTAAGCATTCTGTGTTACTTCTCGTTATTCTTTTCTTTTTTTCTCCTCTGACTGTATTTTGAAATAGCTTGTTTTAATGCTCACTAATTATTCTGCTTAATCAATTCTACTGACACTCACTAAGGCATTTTCCAGCTCCAGGATTTGTTTGCTATTTTCTATTACGTCAGTATCCTTGTTAAATTTTTCTGATATAATTTTGAATTGTTTCTGTTTTCTTGAAGTTAATTGAGCTTTCTGAAAATGGTTATTCTAAATTTCCTGAAAAGTTACATATCTCCATCGTTCCAGGGTTGGTCACTGGTGGCTTATCTGATCTATTTGGTTAGGTCATATTGGCTTAAATGTTCTTGATACGGTGGGTATTTGTCAATATCTGAGCATTGAAGTATAAGTTATTTATTCCAGCCTTTGCAGTCAGGTGTTGTTTGTACCTGTCCTTCAGAGGGCCTCCCAGGAATTCAAAGTGGGCTGACGAGTTCCCTAAGCTAGTGGTCACTACAGCCATTTTTGTACTACAGGGCATCCTAGGCCCAGGTACACTGCAATCCTTACAGATTCCCAGGTCCACAGCTCTCTTGGGCTTGGGAAAGATCAGGGGTTGTTCTCTGGGTTCCCAGGTAAAGCCTCTAGCTTACTTTTCTCTATTTCCCCCAAGCAAAAGGAATCTCTGTAGGCTACACTGCCTGGAGTATGGGGAGGGGTGATGCAAGCATTCCCATAGCTGCTGCAGCTGCTGCTGTCATACTGGCTGTGACCTCATCTGGCATCCTCCAGACCTACACAACATCAGGGTTTGCCCAAGGAGTGTTGTGGTCACTGCAGACTGCCTGCCCGTGACATTTATTTGAAGCCCACTTAATTTCCAGTGATAAAGCTGACCAGAACTTTGGTGGGTTCTTCCTCCTGGGGCAGCCGATTCCCTTGTGGCCCAGGGTGAGTCTAAATGCTGCTTCTGTGGACATCAGCCTGGAATCAAGCGCTGTTGGGTTCTCTTCAGGGCTGTGTTTCTCTATGGCAAGATTGGTACTGAGTTTCCTCCTTGTCTCCAAGCCATTAGATTCTCTCTCAAAGATGCATTTCCTTCAGTTTGGGGAGAGGTGTCAGAAGCAATGCAAGACCATCCTTCCTGCCTTCTTCAATGCATTTATTATTATGCTAAAACCAGGTGCTCTGATCTCTCACCTGATTACCTAGCTCTTGTGAAAGTGTTTTCGTGCATGGATACTTGTTCCATTGGATGTTCCTTCAGGGAGACCGTTGCTGGAGGGTTGTATTCTATGATCTTACTGTACCTCCCACTTGGTTTTCTTTTTTAAATGTTTCTAGTAAATAATTGTGAAGTGATGGCTTTATTTTAATCTTGCGGATCAAAAGCATGTAGCTAAGAAATTTTCCCAAAAAGCATTTTTAAAATTTTATGTCCATGTTGATGGAATGATATCCTTTTTGACTCAAGGGTCTTAAATGGATTTTTAGTTTTGATTCAGTGTGACAGAACACTATTTTTATAAAGTGTGATCTGCAGCCCTCATCTACTAAAATCACCTGTGGTGCTTATATTATAAAAAAGTAGATTCTAGGGCCCACACCACCTAAATCTCCTGGGGTTGGAGACCAGTGTGTAGCTCCTGTCATCTCCACAGCTGCTTCTAAGATACACCAAGTTTAAGAACTATTCTTTCATGTTTTCAGACTAGGGATTCTTACAAAATGGCAAAGTAGAAAAACCTTAATCTTTTAAAGTTAAGAGTTCAAGTCCCCAATTTCCACTCCCCCCCACCCACTTTGCTTGCCGCGGTTGGGTCCGCGGCCTGAGCTGTAGCAGTCACCGCCGTTCTTTGGAAGTATCAACTCCCCTACCCCACCCCAGCCCTGGTCCCCGTCCAGCCACTGACATGAAGATTTGCAGCTCAGAGGAGGTGTCCTGGATTTCCTGGTTCTGTGGGCTCCGTGGCAATGAATTCTGTAAAGTGGATGAAGACTATATCCAGGACAAATTTAATCTTACTGGACTCAATGAGCAGGTCCCTCACTATCGACAAGCTCTAGATATGATCTTGGACCTGGAGCCCGGTGAAGAACTGAAGACAACCCCAACCAGAGTGTCTTGATTGAGCTGGCAGCCAAGATGCTTTATGTATTGATCCACGCCCACTACATCCTTACCAACAGTGGCATCGCCCAGATGTTGGAAAAGTACCAGCAGACTTTGGCTACTGTCCCCCTGTGTACTGTGAGAACCAGCCAATGCTCCCCATTGGCCTTTCAGATATCCCAGGTGAAGCCATGGTGAAGCTCTACTGCCCCAAGTGCATGGATGTATACACACCCAAGTCATCGCGGCACCATCAAATGGATGGCACCTATTTTGGCACTGGTTTCCCTCACAGGCTCTTCATGGTGCATCCCGAGTACCGGCCCAAATGACCTGCCAACCAGTTTGTGCCCAGGCTCTACGGTTTCAAGATCCATCCGATGGCCTACCAGCTGCAGCTCCAAGCCGCCAGCAACTTCAAGAGCCCAGTCAAGATGATTCGCTGATTCCCCACCCCACCTGTCCTGCAGTCTTTGACACTTCCTTTCCTTTTTACCACCGTTTCAGGAACCCTGTATGGCTTTCAGTTTAAATTAAAGGAGTCATTATTGTGGTGGGAATATGAAATAAAGTGGAAGAAAAGGCCATGAAAAAAAAAAAGTTCAAGCATTAGACTATGCGCTTCTTAAACACAGATTATCTTTCCCATTTTCTCTTTCCAGTTCTTTAAACTGTCAAGGGATTGGTGCAGAAATAGGAAACAAAGCAGTGAAAGAAAAACTTTATTTCTTAATATACATTTTGCTTTAATAATCACCAAAAAGACTTCCATCTTCTCTCTCCGATGTGTCCACCAGCTATATTGGCCTTCAACAGATAGTGATAGCAACACACATAAATCCTTATCATGCATTTATACACACTAACACGTATCAGCACTGTGAAGACACAGACTGGGCTTTACTACGGCTGGGGGCCTCTCCCATGCCACTTAAAAATAAGCACAGGTTTCTTCTATGCAAGAATTTCAACAGAATTGGTCTGGCCATCAGTCCCCAGTTTCCCCGAGGTAAGATAGGATGACAAAATGGGACAGCGTATTTGAAGTGAGATCAGGCCAATTCAGGTATCATAGAAGAAAAGAAATAGGATGTGCTAGCTGAAGCCTGAAATGGTATCTGGGAAGTCATCACGTTCATGATGTGAACTCAAAGAACGCAGATGCCACAGTGCAGAGCAAAGCCCAGCCTGACTCAACCCAACAGGATCAGGTGTGGATCTGTGAGTAGTGCTCACTGAGTCCCCGCCAGTACTGTCCAGCAGAGCACCGCGGCTCAGTATTGTGCTTTTAGAACCTGCGAGAGGAGTTCCAGCATTGGGACCA